AAAGAACTTCTACAAATAACAAAAGCAATGATCAATTAGAGAAATATACAATGTCTAATAAAAGAGGACAAGGACTCTTATTTATCTGATTGATGATGTTTACTGATAATTTGATGATATGTAATGATGATGATGGACTTTCCTGGCGGGTGGGAGAGCTCTTTATATACTCATAACCCAGAAAATCCCTTGCGCACAACTTGTGGTTGGATTACATACTCTTTTGTAGTATGTAATCATATTTTAATTATTTAATTATTACATTTATTACACACATGCGTAACTCTTGTGTTGCTCATGTGATAAGCCTTGTGAAAGGTTATATTACTTCGTGTAATCTCTCGTATTGATCTACTTGTACCTACACATGTCATTACATATGTAACTATATGTAATTTCATATGTAATTGGCTCTTGAAACTGAGCCATGAGTTGTAAGTATTATTTTTATTATTTTATTATTATATTTCAGCCCTTTGGTACTAGCTATAGGGCTCGGGGCTGACAGGCAGTTCTAGCAGCCTCAGGATGGCGGTGTCTGACTTGGCATCGAGTCTTGCATAGACGGGTGGCGAGTTGGTGTCGTGGCGGAGGAATGGGGTGGGGTGCGTTCGAAAAGTTCCCAAGGCAAAACGCATCGCAATGTTATCGACACGTTGGAGCTTGCTGGCCGGACCTGTGGATTTTCCAAAGGTGTGCCAAACCACACTGGCATAGTCCACTCTCGAGTGGATTAGCGAAGACGTTAGCTGTGTGCATTGTTTCAGCGGTATGCCCCAGCCAGTTCTGGCTAGGCCTGCTAGACGATTTGCAACCGTTATACCCTTCGCAACCTGTGAAGAGATGTGAGCTGAGAAGCGAAGTTTAGGATCAATTAGTACGCCCAGCCACTTGATGAGCGGCTGAGGGGTGAGTTCTACATCTCCCAGATTGATCGACGGGGCGATAGTAGGTGGTTTCTTGTGTGATAACACCATCCATTGGCTTTTGGCTCGGTCAAAGGCAGCGCCGTAGCGACTGCCCCATTCGAGTTCCTTGTTTGCCAGGGCCTGGAGTTGTTCAGTTACTTCCTCCAGCGTGGGTCGGGCGGTGGCGAATGCCACGTCGTCGATGAATCCCAGGGAGATCGTGTTGGGCACTCCATCAGGTTGTCTGAGGAGCGGTGAATTGTACAAGATGTACAGGATCACCGAAAGTGGTGAACCCTGCGGGAGCCCTATGGTGAGCTGCTTCGGTTCTGATTGGTAATCTCCCAGTTGGAAGGTCGTTGATCTGCTGCTGAGGAAGTTAGTCATGAGTTGTGTGAGGCTGGGACTGAAACCCATTTCGTTTAGGGTGTGGCAAAGTCTAGTAGGGTTGACGGTTGGGAAAGCGGCTTTTACGTCGACAAATAGCGTGCCAACTATATTGCCTTTGGCCCACTGGTTCTTGGTCCAGACTGTCAAGTTAAGCAGAGCATCAGTAGTGGAACGTTTGGCTCTCCCGCCGTAGTGGCCTTCTGGGAGAATTTGGTTGGCCTCCGCGTATTCCTGCATTCGTGCAGCAATCGTAGCCTCCAAGACTTTGCTGAGACAGCTTAGTAAGGCGATAGGTCTGTACGCGGACGGGTTAGTGTAGTCTGGCTTCCCAGGCTTTTTCAGAATTATTGTGTTAGCGGTTTTCCACAGCCTTGGGTAGAAGCCCGTTATTAGGCAGGCATTAAGGAGGTGTGTTAGTAGGTCGGCGAGTGATTTCGGGGCCTTCTTAATCGTTGCGTTCGTGATTCCGTCAGCTCCAGGCGCTTTGCCTATTTTGAGTCTGTCAATCGAGGCTAGAATTTCCTGTGTGGAAAACAGCAGAGGGGCTGGTTCTCTATCAGGGAGATCAGTTGTGTCAGCAAGATCGCAGGGGATGGTTGGGCCCCCTGTTGCCTGGAACAAGAGGTCGGCTTGTTCGTCCGGTGCGCTTGTCAAATCGCCGTTCTGCTTCCTTAGCGGCGGCAGAGTACGTGAAGCTGTGGGTCCATTGGTGTAGTTTGCTGCTGTGAATAGGTCTTTGGCTGTCAGATTAGCCAAGAACGAGCGCCAGTGGTTGACTTTGGCCTCTTTGCAGGCAGTTTGGAACTTGTGCTGAGCCGCTCGGAAAGCTACTCGGTCAGTCCGCTGTCCGGAGCGTTGGGCTACGCGGCGCAGATTGTTCGCGTGTCCCTTAAAGGGGTTGAGAGTTCCAGCGTTCCACCAGCGCCGGGAGCGCTGCGTGATTTTCAGCATCGGGGTTGATTCTGAGACGGCTTTGTCGATTGCCGACGTAATGTCGTCTGTCAGCTTGTCTATAGCCTCTTGGGAGGTCAGAGGTTGGAGGTCGTTTTGAAGGGGTCGTAAGGCGGTCCCCAGAACCGATTGGTATTTTTCCCAATCTGTTTTAGCCCAGTTTGGCCTGGGTCGCGGTGAGTAGTCGTCTAATGGGCTTGCTGGGAGGTCCAGTTCCGTGACGATCGCCATGTGATCTGAAAAGTGGGAATGTTCAAAGGATGAGTCTGTTTTACACACTGTCGCCCAATCGTAGCACTCGGGCGAGAGCCACTGCAGGTCGACTGTGGTTTGGCTGTTTTGTGCGTTACTAGCTGTGAAAGTGGGAACGCCTGCTTCAGAACGGAGAAGCAGGCCGGCCGAGTTCATGAGGGAGATGAGTCCATCCGCCTCACGATGAACGTGGGAGTACCCCCTGGGGTTCCACATCTGGTGGTGGAGATTAGAGTCCATGCCCAGCAGGACAGGATTAGGGCGCAGGTTCTCAAGAATGGGGCCTAACGGTTCCATTGTTTGGGCCTGACCCGGAGGTAAGTAGGCAGAAATGAGATTGATAGGAGGATGGGGGAGCGGGAGTGCTAAAGCAACCCCTGCAATAAGGGCTGAGTTTGTGGAAATAGGAGAAAAGGAATGGCTTGGGAGTTGATTATTAACATAAACGACGCTTTTAATGCGCGTGTCACCTTCCAGGGTGGGAGCAGAGTTCATAAGGGGGGGGATAACATGCCAGTTCGGGTCAGACATGGGGAGATGGGAAGCCCAGTTTAGGTGCGGCTCTTGAATTAATAAAAAATGAAATAAGCGTGTGGTAGAAGAGTTGAAAAGAGAAAGCATCACTTTCTCCGATCTATGTACATTGAGTTGCAGGATCCTGAGCGGATCTCTGATTGCCCTGCCTTCCGTTGTACTAACGGACGGCATGGGTGGTGTTGTTCTTCTTCGTAACCGGGAAGAAGTCTCGGTTACGAGATGGAGCAGTGCGTGCTCGGCGAATGGGGCAGTTTGAGGCTAGGGAGGAGTGTGCAAAGTTGGTCATCTCATCTTGAGTGATGTTAGTTGTAGCATAGGATGGAACGGTTTCTCTTTTCATTGCAATATGTTTGTCTATACAATTAATACAAAGAGCTGTTCCCGGCTTTTGGCGAGAGGTACAAGCGGTGGTGGCGTGATCGCCTGTGCATGTTGCACAGCGAGGTTTGTTAGGGCATTTAGCTTGTACGTGTCCGTAACTTTGGCACGAGAAGCATTGAGTTGTTCCTTCTGCTCTCTTGGAGCGCTCCGTGGTTTTAAGCTCTCCGTTGAAGCTGATTTTGTTGAAGATGGCGTTGTTTGCCTCCTCTGGATCGGATAGGCTAAGAAACAAGGATGAAAAGGGTTTTGCGATCGCTAGTGAGTGAGCGTTGGCCCACCTAACGCTTTCGACTGAGTCGATTAGGCCGTTGTTTTCTTTGACAAAGTTAATAACCTGTTCTCTGTCATTGGTGTCGAAGGAAGTTGGAATTCCGTGTACCATGATGGTGTACAGTTTAGTTTTCAATCTAAGCCTGGGGTTAAAGACTTGGATCCACGTGTCCGCCTGTGCTTGAGCCTTATCGGCTTCTTCCTCGTTGCGGAATTGCACTATCAATTCGCCGGTTCGGTGTATACGCCTATGGCCTCTGATGGTCGGTGGGTTGGCTGGGTTGACGCAAGCTAGGGCGCGATTGAGCCGTTTGGACAGGTCCTGGGGATCTGTCTCGAGCTCCTCTTTGCCATCACGCGAGGCTTGAGCCAAGGTGAGGTATGGGAGGGCACGGGGTGGTGGCTGGAGCTGCTGCTTTGGTGGTTTTGGGCCCTTCTGTTGGGCCGGCTGGGTTTGTTGATTGAGGCCTGCCTTAGCTGCGTTGGCAAAGGAGGTCTGCTGTTTCTCTGCATTCTCCTGCAGCCTCTTGATCGTGGATTCGAGATTGGCGGCTTGGTCCGCAAGGTTTGCGGCTTGTTCCGCTATAACAGCTTCCATTTCCTGGATGCTAGCGTGGACGCCTGCCATGAGCGCTTCCGGCGCACGGGTTGGTTGGGTTGTTTCTTGCGAAACAGCTATACGGTGACAGAATTCCACCAACGTTTGGACGTTTTGGAAACCAGCTCTGTCGCACAGGAAGTTGACCGGACCTGCTTGGCTTAAACCCGTCGGGGCCAAAGAGGAGACAGTCGATCTGCCAGGCTTGGAGGGAGCTAGCTCTTGAAGCTTGAGCTTGAGCTCCCCCAACAGTTGTGGTAGGTTTCCTTTGCCTACAATCGATTCACCCACTAAGTCGCAAACTCGGTTAGTTCGCGGCGTGTTGGGTAGCTGGGTGATCCCAATCGAGTCCAGCCTGGTCATGTTAGCGTCACTAACTTCACCAGGCTCGATCTGCGACTGGGGGTTCGGGGTTGGGGTATTCACCCCGTCCCTGAGGCCTAAAACCCTCGAGAAAGGCATCCACCGAACGAAAACTGAAAACGATAAGTGGATGAAGAACTAGAGAGGAAAAGGGTTGATGAAAAAGGTGAAAAAAGTTGTTGAGAATGAGAGGACGAAATTTGGATGTGTGCTTGCGCAGTCACGGAACAGGTCACGTGATCAGGAGAAAAAATCTGTACGATCACTTGGCACCTCGCTATCGTCTCCCAATGAAGTTTTACGGACTAGAGCGCTAATTGTAATCGTTTTTACCTTTTGGATTTCAAAAGTTTGCTCACGTTTTGAACAGGGCCAACAGGTTGACTACTTTTGCAAGCGCCGACATCTGAACGGAGGTAAGTTGACCATCTGGAGCTCATTTGAGTTCAAAGTTGGATTTGTTTGATGATGATCACTAACTGCTGGTTTGTATGGATCGAACCTGGCCATATCTACTATGGCATTTAGCATGTCCTTCGGACAAGTGTAAACAAATTGAATAGTGAAAACTAGATGATATACTTATTCTCATCTTTCCTGCTAGCTCAGAAGCGAGCTCCTCATCCCATATACATTGTGTGCTACACATAGGTGTCCTTCTTTTTTTCCTTCCCTGAAAGCGTAGTCTCCACTCTACAGCACTCTGCAATCTACTCAAAGATTCATAGCCCTGTTTGGATTCAAAGTGTGTACGTGACAAAAAGGCAAGTGGATTAATCAATGATGATCCTCAGAAAAACTCCTCGGAAAGAGAGTTGAATTGAAATTCAGCTTACAGGACAAGAAGCTCGAGCAATATGACCTAAATCGTAAAAAATCAACGAATTTCTCATCTGATCTCATTGGAACTTGTTAGGCTGGTGGAATTGAGATTTCTTCATAACGATACAGAGATAAAGATTGAAAATAAAGCATCAAGTAATTCGCGTTTGAATTCGAATTCGTGTTCGATTCGAATTAGATTTCGCGTTCAACTTCGAGTTCGAATGTGATTTCACGTTTGATTTTGAGTTCAACATCGTGTTTAAAGACTTGACTCGGATTTTGCATTGGACACTGACCTTGCATGGAACTTCGAGCTAGTGTTACATTTTGATTTCGCATTCGAATTTGGATTCAATCCTGATTCCGTATGCAAGTTGAATTCCTACATAGTGATTCTCCAATTTTGTTGAGTCCTTGTATTCGAACGTTGCTGTCAAAGTCGCAGGTGTGGAGATGAAGTTCAATTCAACACTTCTTAAGTGAGACCATTGGATAGTTTTCATTTGGATTTCACATTGACATCCAGTATTGCATCCGAATTCGACTTCGCGTTGGAATTCACTTTTGCGTTCGAATTCGCGTTCGAATCCGATGGTTTCGCTTTCAATTTCGAATTTGACGTCGTGTTCAAGGACTTGAATCCGATTTTGCATTGCACATTGCCCTTGCAGGAATGGTCTTGGCTCGGTTAGGTCTTTTTAGTTCTCTTCAAAATGATTCAAATAAACTACTAAAGTATAAAACAATCGCCTTGTGTGACTAACAAAACAGAAAAAAAATTGAACTCACTTCAAGGATTGTAAACCAGCAACTTGACTTTGTTTTTCTTGACTGATCACTTTTGAACTTTCACTCAATTTGATGATACTTGTATGAGCAGTCAACATACCATTTGAGTTGAGAACTTCATCTAGAGTCTCAAATAAAGTTTGTTTGCTTTGAAGATTTTCAATAATCACTCCAACAATCAAATCGGTCTCATAAACCTTTGCCAATTTCATCTCAAATCAACACCTTGAAAGGTTTTCTTCTACAAAATCATCTTGTCTGGATTCGGAATCTGGATAAAGTCTTTGAGGTGAATTTTGAGGGAGTTTGAATTGAATTTGAACTATTTTCTAATGCTTTCAATGTTGATTAATAGTCATACTTTTACAACAATCTTGATACCGTTTTGATGGTAAAGACTTGAGCCATGACCAAAATCGAGACTCATGCAGGTTCAATTTGAAGTCGAATTCGAAGTCTTGGAGTAGCCAGATTTGAAGTCGAATGCAATTGTGCATTGGCTACCGTGCACATCGCCATCTTGATGCAAGATATTGAGTTGCTCAATGCCGCATTTGGAATAAATGTGATTTGGTGGTGCAGATTGGCTCAATTTCTTCGAATAGTGGAAATTCGAATTCGCGGACTGAATTTGATTTTACTTCTTCATTCAATTTTCTTGATGACGATTTCATTTTGTAGTCAAAGGTGTTCCCCTTGAGGCCTGGCGTTAAAACCCCAGAACTTATCAAAGGGGGGCTCGGGAAAGCGACGTATGATTTCCCTGCGAGATTCAAATTGGTGCTCCTTCAGTGACACCCACAGTGCAGATAATGTCACAAACCCAATTTTGGTCCAAAACTGGCAGGCTTTGAAACAGTGACCTTGCAAGACCAATAAAATTGTCAACTTTGATCCAACACATATAAGTCTTTGGCATTGCAAATGCCTCATTTTGGCTCTACAAGCTAACCAGCTTTGTGTCTTCAAGAATGAATACTTTACAACAATAGCCATGCACAGCAGGAAACCTATGATAGACCAGAAATTATTACACCAATTAGCACCTTGATAAACATTATAGACACAGTATTTGGCTTTCATAAATTGCAAGTATTGAATTGATTGAACAAAAATCTTCTTATATGTGGGTATTCAATGTTTTTGCCCAACTCTTTCTGGTTTTGGACATAATTTGAGTTTCTAACATGATATTCCATAAAGGTCAACTAATTTTTTGAAGATCTGTTCCCTATCCAATCATCCTACTGAGTTGCTTGTCTAACCTGCACACTTTCCTGGGTATGTTTCCCAACAATTTTCATCAACGCATTGTAGAATTTTTCATAAACATGAACCAAGCTCATACTTGATGGTCCCTTGCCTCACCCTTTTGATTGGCCTAGATACTTTCAGTTTCCGCCTGAACCCAACCCACACACAATATTTCAAATCCTGTGGCTTTAAAATCCCAGTGAGTCTTGATATACTCAACCAAATCTTCTTCACAATTCACTGTATCTAAAGCTTGATCAACCAATTAGATAACATCATGAAACTCAACATCTTTGCAGCAATCTTCATGGTGTCCATATCACTTAAACAAGTTTTTGGTTCAATGACTCACGAACAAGGAATTCTATTGACTGATGAGGGCTTGGTCAACCCGCTAGACCCCACCATAGAGACGCTGGAGTTTGATGGATGTCCTGGGTGTCACGAGCAAGGAAAGGCACACACCTGTGGAAAGTAGAAACTTCTGCCACAACATCTGTGGTGCAAAAGTGTGTGTAAAAACTTCATTATAATTGTGGCATCAGGGGTCAAATCTATGTTAAAAGCAATCATTTTGTTGTCCATTCATTGGGAGGCAGGAGATACATTGTTTGTTTTGCTGAGTTTCAAGGGTGATAGGGCCATCCACGGCTCCCAATCACAAGTCACTGGCAGGCCAGTGCACCCCACAACTTGAGAATGCTTTTAATTTGTTTTGAATTGTATATCAGATGGATATCACCCATATATTGAGAAGTCATTGATATGTTACCAAAATTGAGATGATGCTGTATGTCATCATAAATCTATACCAAATTGATTCTGTATTTCCCCACCCTGAATTTGGGTATACAAATATGGTTATGGAAATTTCCAGAAGGGTCTTCCCAGAACACCAGAAGTTTTTTTGGGTGTGGTCTGAACTTGTGGTGTTCTTGTAGTTTCCCTTCAGGAAGAGCACCTAGCACTGACCATCCTGGAACATTCTGAAACTCTGCTCCACAATCTCATGCCTGCCAGCTCTTTCCATAATCATCCAGGTATCACCACAGCTACAAGATTGATAAGATGATTTAGGGTAAGTAAATGGATGCATTTGGAAAGAATGTGTCACACAGTGGATCAAAGATTTAAAAAATGTGTTCCAGACAGCCCCAAAGAACCTTGGGGTCTATGCTAAGAGACCTGGTGTGGTTGACTTGTGGATTTTCACAGCTGGCCTACAGTCTTGTTGTGTTTTGTTGGTGGATTGTGTTTTCTCTGGAAGTGTCCAACACACTTTACATGACTCTTATTGGTTGGCAGTCCAGGGACATTGGTGGCAATGCTCTAACAAACCGCCTGAACCTCTGAACTTATTTGTCACATATTCTTTGTATGTACACCCTGGATATCTCTTACGTAGTAAATGTACCAACAAAAAATGTCCCAAAATACAGTTGTTTTGACCTGTATTTGAGGCCCATGAATGCCAAGAAAACCTTTTTGCTGGTATCATTCCAAAAAACCTATTGAAAAAAAGTTCAAAGAATCATTCCAGGTCCCCAACATCAAGCATCAACAACTACTGTTTTTACATGTTTTTCAACAAAAAAAACCTGGATGAGACAAATGGACCAGAATTTTGACACACAGAAAGTGGACACTAAGGCTGCTGATATTTTAACTGAATATACAGCAGGCATCAGCACATAAATTCAATCAAAGTATCTTAAATGTCGGTAGAAGTCATGTTAAATGCATAAAAAAGCATTGGATGTAAAAATAATTCCTGGGAGGTTGGTGTGCTCAAAAATTCATGGTCAAAGACTTCTCACACTTATGCCTCCAATTTAACTATGATCCAAAGGCAACACAGACACAAGATACCTATTTTAATTTTGGTTGCATGTCACAAAATCCAAAGTGAGAACATTCCATATCAGTCTTGTTTGTGTTTGGAATTTTCATTTTTCATTTATTGAGTTTATGTCTTTCTTTCAGTTATTCTTCTTCTTATTAAATCAATACATCAGTTTGGGTATACCACAAAACGGTCTATCTAAGGTAATCTTTGGAATTGAAAAAAACACTCCTCAAAGGTAATGAATGGGAAAAAAATGAACAGTCCTCAGCTCAACATGCTGGGATCAGGAAGTTGAAAACAAGTTTTGTGAGAGTTAACTAAAATACGAACTTCATCTGCTGATAAACTCTTTGATTGATAACTTTTGAAAACAGCTCTTGAGAATTTGATTAGTAACTTTTGAAAACAACTCTTGAGAATCTATAAAATTTGATATCTTGCTTTTTTTAAGAAAATCCTCTAAAACAGCTAGGGCCTGTTTGGCTGGAAACCAAATACCCCACCAAAGCCAAATACCGTATTTGGTTTTTGACAAAAAGACTGGTGTTCAGCAAGAAATCCCAAGGATTTAAAAAGTTGTTGCATGGAATATCCAAATTCTAGCGAATGTCTAAATTTCCTAAGAGAACAAAAAACAAGGATATGTTACTGTACAAGTGTTTCTAGAAATGTCTATCATAATATACTTTTAAAAGCGGTTGACGACTGTCTATGAGATGAAGAGCGAGAAGGGAGATTTTAAGCGACCAGCAGAACTCTGCCTGCTTTCCATTTGTGGGTTAGAGAGAGAAGAGGTTCCAATTGGCCAACTTGAGATAGGAAGGCCGTTCATGACTTGTTGAAAAAATATCAATGAAGCTTTCCCAGGATCTATTTTCTCAAATCCATATGCTGGCACTTGATGTCCCTATTTTCAAATCGTGTCAGAATGTCTTTTTCAAAATGAGAAAGAGAGGCAGGAAACTTACTGCGCCAAAGACTCGCAGGTAAGAAAAAGTGCCAGCATTTTTGTACAGCCCAGCTTTCTGGCCATCAACCAACCAATCTGAAAATTGCTGTTGTTTATACTGTTCTGAGAAAGTGGTATTGAGGCTATCGACCATCGCTTCGACTCCCATGCTACAAATGTCAAGGTAAAATTAGTGAGCAGTTAACTTATACTCAGGAGGATGCCCTCACTAATTGAGTATGTAGTCTGCATCACCATCAAATATTCTAATTGCAAGCAGAAGCATGTACATCAAAAGATAGGTCAGCTGGACAAAAGATCAAGGATATAATGAAGGAATGATCAGTACTAACAAGGTTCTTACTCCTGAATTGATTATTCTTTCTAACTGAGGAGCCGAGCTCATCATCCAATCGCCACTGGTAATCAAAAGTGGCGCTTCAGTATTGATAGAGGTTGGCATCAATTGACGAGGCAGACCCTTTGAAGAAATTATCATAAACATCCTCGTTACTTTGTGTCCAGTTGGTCTCCGCACCAATTGATTCTTGAAAGCTTTTCTGAGACAGTATGGGCTCAAGATCTGGTGGATACGGATTGGGATCAAGTGATCTATAGATCCCGAATGGCCAAATGTAAGACCCTCAGCTATCCATCAAAATGTGGATGCTGAATATAGTGCAGACAGAACTACATACCGAACATCATAAACATCACGCTTTCCGTTGAGAATTCCCAAAATGTTGTTATTGCAGAAAGCTTGGGCATTTGAACATCGCAATGGGTCGGACGTGGTCTGGCAAAGCGTGATCAGCTCCTTGCATCCACCTTCCTGATTGTACATTTTGGTCGCATTGGCGATGATATCATCGGTTACTAACTGTTCATACTTTTGGGGCAAGTGAACAAGGGCGCGTAAGCATGTGTCCTTGAAACATCATTAATGGGAATGACTTTCGATATGTATTTTATTCATCGAATTGACCTACCGGATTCGACTTCGCGTACTCCATGTAGTAAGGATATTGAATAAGGGGAGAAACAATACCGTTGCCGATACCTAGAGTCTTGACAGGTATTAGAAAGTTGCCACTTTGGCTGACGTTCTGATTCATCTGAAGAAAATAATCCGCCATGGTCGGGCCATAATGACCTATATAGTCGAGCGTCATTGAGGAAACAGATTCATGTGCCATAGCTTATCAGATCAATTGGACTGACCTCCATATGATTCCGTCCAAATAGCAAAATCGCGCCCGATGAACTTTTTATACTTGTTATCTGAGTAAAATAGTTGAAGTGCATTATAAACAGAAATAGCTGCCTCTGAGGAAGTCTTGACAGTCGTAGTACCATAGGAGTATCCTACACCGATAGGCTGATCTATGTAAAGCCTACGGAATGTGAAGTTGAAGGCTGATCAAGTTCTGCCCTTATTACAATAAGAAAGATCGCTTCTTACATGTTGGCCTGCGGGAAGCGGTCGAAGACATCACATCGATCAGACCATATCTCCAAGTTACAGTCAAGAAGGTTTGTACGCACGCTTTCAGTCCAAGAGTACGGATTGTTGTCAAGACCGCTTGAATCTAATTTGATTCTACAGGGACCGTTCTCTTGGAAAAGGCCTGCACCGGGGTTCGAAAGGATGTCAGTTAGACTCTTCTGAAGATGAGTGGAGTCTGAGAGTGGTAACGTACCGATCATCGAGCTACTTCCTGGGCCGCCATTTAACCATCTTCAGTCGCAACATAAAAATTCAGACAAATAAAAACTGTAAGATTTTTCGTTGAGCGCAAAAGTGAATTGTGAATCGGCGGAGGACCCACAGTACTAAAGGTGCCGTGTCGGGATTTTTCCTGAAATGGGCATATCACGGAAATAAAACTCAACTCTGCTCAACTTCTTCCTACACCAATATAGAAAGCTGCCTACCGCGCCTCAAAAAGCCAATAGAACATTGACTGATTCTGATTGATAGGTATGTATCCCGAAGAGGTTTGCACCCCATGATGAGTCTCGCAAACGCCAGAGTTTGAAACAATTCGGAGGGAGGAGTTTTGAGAAGGCGAACACGTTGATAGATTTATAGGCGTTTCCGGTGAAGGTCGAGGTTGATTCCAATCAGGTGTCGTGGGAGCCTGGTCGTTTACCGTTGTTGCCAGTTGTTTGATTCGTATCTCGGAACTCAACTCGACTGCCTCACTCTCTTGTCCCCCGCCAGGGATACCGTTATATATTGGGATCTGCCCGCTTCTTCGTTGCAGATGCCGGTCCCGAGGCCGTTGCGATGGATCGGCAATGGATGTTGCTAGCGCGAAGACATTACAACTGGTTGCGATAAGACTGAGGATAGCCCATGTTATTGAAGCCCGTTTGAGGCCGGTAAGGCTTGAAGGCTTTCTCCAGCTTGAAACGAATCGCATGTCCGAAGGTAGCAATGCTGGCACGGCCTTCGAAGACGTGAGTTATGAGGCACGCTTGCACGCAAAATATGCCGGCGTTTGATGTTTCCAAATCGATTAGATAGACTCACAGACTTTGAGACCGATGATTGGGAAGACCGCAATATCACTATTCTTTCAAAGGGGTCTTCCATAACAAGTCGCCCTGGATACGGCTTCCTTTTGTAAGGGTGCTTTCTTTGGTCGGATGCACAACATTGCTGAGTAGCTGTTTGTTCTAGACTGGAAATGTTTGACCCACTTCAATTGTGACTGTACGCAAGTGGCGTTATAATTCCTGAACCTGAGCTATCAAACCACTTTCCAACAAACAAGTCAAACCAAACCGACGAAAGTAATCGATCTAAACTCACCGGTCCTTCAAACGGAAGCTCGTCTAATAGGGACTGGGCGAAGCTCTGCAAAATTGCAATTCAACCGTAGTTGAAAGCGAGTTGCAAACAGCTAAGCCACTGTTCAATCAATATGAAATTTCCTTATTTTTTTTAGTAAGCTTTATGGCACTAAAAAAAATAGGGTGGCGCACAGGCATGACCCTCCCTAAGACGAGCTGTCTATTCAAAATTTCCCCCCCCACCTCAGCCAAAAGCCTATGGCAGAACGCTTCTGGATAGCCTGATATACCTTTCACAGGTTGCTCTCGCTCTGGTTTTGGTGAAATCATCTGACAGTCGGGTCTGTTGGGCTTGTAGGAGTAATCCTGACACCTCCTGTTTGCATAAATCGCTTCGGTCGACTTCCAGGTCTAGGCTACAAGGGCCTACACAGTGGCTGCACCCCGAATGTACGCCGATCAACGACCATGCAACAGCTGTATCTGACTCTCGATCCACTGCTTCAAACACTCTCAAACTGCTGTCGATCAGAGCTAGAAGAAGTAGGCAACAGAAGGAGCTTAGCGGAAATTTAGTCTGCAGGAACTTACAAGAGCTCGATCCATTCCACGTAAATTTGCGTATGTACAACAAGACGTTCGAGCTCTGAATTGCAAGCCATCCGTGATCCCATCTCCTCTCGAAACTCGCTCGTCTATCCCATTGGCTACAGCGCTGGGAATCCCGGCCAACCGTGCCGACGCGGGGCATTGATCGGTGCCCCAGGCTGTCAAGGGAGTTCTCAGGATGTATGAGTTTCTTGAAAGACCGAAAGGAAATTCAAAGCTAAAGGGCACTGGTCACTTCGAATTCAATAGAATTCAACAATTGATGAGAAGTCATAGATTCCAAGGTCTCCCGAATGTCGTAGTCTTCATGCATCTGTCTTCTTGCAGAAAGCTGAACCAGGAGAGCCGACTTCAATCTATCACTTTGAGCGCTGGGCCCGCAAGTATGCTGAATAAGCTAGCGTATTCAAAAAAGTAGCAGCTGGAGTAGCCGTTTGGAGACTTCGTTCGGGTCGGCCAAGTTTGTTAAAGGCGATTGATAAACCACGCCGACTTCAAAGCTGGTTTGACGCCGGTTTTTTCAAACCGGATTCCTTTAGAAGATGTACAGCTGCTATACTGAGGTACAGAGCTGCACCACTTCTACAGCCTTCAAACCTCTTCAAACTATTTCTGACGCCGGGTTTTGACAGACTCGGCGTTATTCCTTTTGAAAGTTTTTGGATTGTTTTCACCGCTGATCAATCCTAATTCTTGTTTCTGAGAAGGTGACTAGAGAAATTCATGTTCTACATACTCAATTTTGGTAGTTGTAGTAAACATTGAGAGTTTCTACTTGTCTGAGATGAAGGGCTATTGAAAATGTTTCCATTTGCAATGTTGGACGATTGAACAAAGCTTGGACCAATCACAAGAAACATGATATACATCAAAATGCGGCATATCTCTGTCTTTGACTCATCGTTCATCGACTTCTTTGACACTACTAGAAATCACCGATTATTGTGATAGCATGCTCTGTTTTGAGGTTTCCATTGTGAAGAAGCAAACCAATTGCAAACCTCATGATTGTTTCTATCTACTCGCGGCTCCTAATTCTTAAAGGTAGGCAGCGGCTTCAGTTATTTTTGTCCAAACTTCAAACATCTTTATCCGAATCAAAAGCCGGCGTCAGAAGCAAAACAAAACCCCGGCTGCAGAAAAACCTAGAAAAACTCTGAAGGCAGTAGAAGTGGTACAGCTCTGTACCAGTCTGTACCTCAGTATAGCAGCTGTACATCTTCTGAAGGAATCCGGTTTGAAAAACCCGGCGTCAAACCAGCTTTGAAGTCGGCGTGGTTTATCAATTGCCTTGTTAAATGCAGCCAGGTAGAATTTAAAGAAGACTTCAAATATGATGCATTTGACTCTATGTGTTCATTGCGGTGTACGTATAGACTCATACCGACATATAAACATGACATGGGTTAAACATGTAATTTTTCCATGTCATGTTGAGTCAAAATTCATCGCCAAGCCAAAAACCGTACGACATGACTCATACCGACACACATCGACATGGATTTTTGTTTTCCAAATCCCGTGTTGTAACATGAGTCATGGCGGATGGTCTGATGGCCGACAAGTGTCATACCGACAAACAACATCACACTGTATCACATCTAATAGCTTTACCCGATTCACCACCGGTACATAGGTTGCAATATATGCCTTCTCTGGAGTAAAGTACCTTTTAAATCATCAACCATTCCTTCTCTCACTTTGGTTTCTTTGGGTAAGTATTTCAACTCCTTCTATCTTTGAATTACTCACAATATTCAACTTGGAACTCATCAATTTTCCATCAAAAGTCCCTTGCTTTTCTGTTCTCTTGCTCAGGTTTAGATTCCTCTTCTCGGTCCCACCCCCTTTCAATCCATTTGTGATTTCTCAACAAACAATGCTTTAACCTTTTTTAGTGATTAGACATGAAAACAATTTCATTTTCAATTGATAAATCGATTGTTTCCATTTGATTCAATCCAAATCAATAGTTTTCATCTGATTCGATCAAAATCGATCGTTTTCATCCAACTCAATCAAAATCGATCGATTTCATCCGATTCGATCGAAATCAATCGTTTTCATCCGATTCAATCAAGATCAATCATCTCCAGACTCCATCCATCTGATTCAATGAAAATCAATCGTCTCCATCTGATTCACCTGTAATCAATCATCTCAACAGCTCATCATCCAATCAAACCAAATTAGATTGAATCTTTAGTTCCTAATTAAATCAAGCAATCTCATTGATTAAATTCAAAACACTTCTTTTCAATTTCTTCAAAGTAATCCAACTTTGTTATCTTTAGATTTATCTATCTAAATCATGAGAATGATGTGAGATAAAACTTAATTCTTTCTTCCATGATGGGAAGTCTCACAGGCCAATTTGATAGAGGATGGAATTGGATCTTGCATGTTCATTCTTCACTATGTGAATGCGGAACTACTTGATCTCACCAATGCCATTCCTCTATCAAATTGGTTTTGGATCATGATGATGTATGGTCACTGCTGAGGTTTAACTGTACTTGTCCTCCCCAAGAATGGGTTGGCTTCACGCACCAGAATCTTGTGGGGAGGGTTCGACACAGACCTTATGCAAGCCTAGTCATCATTATCCAAGTGTGGGATGGACACTGAAAGTGGGTTGCTGTCTTGAACTTTTACCAAAAAAATCAAAAAAAAAAAAATCAATCCGCTTTTGTAGCTAATGCAATTCAACCTGTGATTGGAACATCAAAAATGAGGAAGCCTTTGACAACTACTATCACTCATGAAAAATCAATTGTTTAAAAGTTGAAAACAATCAAATTGAAAAATTGAATCCTGCTTCTAATGAACAAAAAGTTCAATTGTTCAGATTTGTGTTAAGGCCAGTACTGGGGTCTGGGACAAGGGTCAAGGATCTGGTGACAAGTCTATAAAGTAGATTGTCGGATGAAGAGAAGAGAAACTTGTACAATAGCAACATGTACAACTAGGGACTCAATCTCTATCCGTGACATGTCTAACCCGTCTTTCACTCGTCGTTACATATGTTATAGGATCATAACAGTATCCCCCTTTTTACGCCCAATCTTCCTCTTGCAAGATCTGCGTTCCTCCCACGGGCAGCATTAAAAAACCCAGAGGGAAAAAGCTTGCCCTCTCACTTACGCCGTGTCCTTTTGTACTTCTCTGCCGCCTTTGGAAATCTTGTGTCAAAGTCTTGTAGTAATTCGGCGCAATTCTTCAAATTGACTCGAGGTTCCCATGAATTATGCTCCGGTCCAAATCCTTTCCAACTAACTAAGTATTCCATCTTGTTGAATTTCTTACGGCAGTCTAATATCTCCATCACCTCCCATTCCTCCGTATCGTTAATGATGATTGGTTGTGGTTCAGTTGTGTGTCGTTCCTCCACCGTGTCCGGTTTGTGTTTCCTAAGTAATGAAACGTGAAACACAGGGTGAATGCCTCTCATAGAAACAGGTAACATCAGTTTATAAGCAGATCGTGATATTTTTTCAATGATGCTAAAAGGACCCATCCATCTGTGATCCAACTTTGGGCTCGGTCTAGTAGTTGACAAATTTTTACTGTTCAGCCATACTTGATCACCCACGTTCCACTCGGGTGTTGTTCTTATGCCTTTGTCAAATTGTGCTTTCATCTCTTGCTGTGCAACGTTTAAACATTCAGTCAGTTTGGATTGTACTTCATTCAATTGTTGCAATCTATTTTCAACACTTGGGATGCATTGGTCACTAGATGGTACTCCACCAAAATTAGGATTAAACCCGTAATTCGCTTTAAAAGGTGAAACCCCTGTAGAAGCGTGGTCTTTATTGTTGTAAGAAAATTCCGCGATTGGTAGTAGTGATTCCCAATTGTCCTGACGATAGTTGACGAAGTGTCGTAGATATTGCTCGATAGCCTTGTTCACGATTTCTGTCTGACCGTCTGTGCGTGGGTGGAATGCTGTAGATGGATGTAAGCGTATTCCAAGTCTCTTGTCCAACTCCTTCGTTATCTGAGATATGAAAATACT